CACATGACTTAGTTGTCATATCCAGAAGTGGATCCAGGATTTTCCTACAAAAGACCCCAAATAGTTTGAATTCAACAGACAATAATTTTTCAAGAAACCAAACGTATTTGAATTCATAGCGCCTTTTTCCTATCGACCTAAAGACATCTCTCGACATATTGCATTTTACAAGGGATTGAATCTGCTGGAATTCTGCTTTTTTAAATATTTTTTTTAAAGAGAATGGTATTCAGAAACCTATTCAAGATTAAATATTTAAGCATGAAAGATTCTTTCAGATGATATTAATTAATTGGCAGTATAATCATGTATGTATTTTCAAACAATATTCAAAGTCAGGTTTCCATTGTTTTTTTAATGCCCAGGCTTTTCGAGCAACCCTTCACATTCAATCACCTGGACCTACATCTAACTGTGGATGCTAAGAAACATATAGTTGGTGCATCGACTGGTCTTAACTGTGATAAACGTGGATAGACATACAGCGAGAGTCAGCTCAGATAAGTACCATGCATTGAAGGCACCCTACGCAGAAGTCAATTTCAAGTTCAAGTTCAAGTTCAAGTTTTATTTATCTTTCTTCCACAACACACGTTACATTATGACATGAATATAACAAGTTGACAGAATATGGCGTTGCAATAGAAAGATGAGGATTTTGCTTGGACCTCAACAGTGAATGAACCTTGCAAATACAAGTTTGCAGTGATGTGTACATTTCTGAAGGTCAATAAACAGTGACAATACTTTTAATTGGACCTGACTGATTTCCAGTATCTTTGCCAGCAAATAGAGAACCCTTTTTAGAAATGTCAATTGAATGATCTTCTTTTGATACAGTTTATGTCTTAATTTATCAAATCTGTACAACATTTCTAGTCTTCTAGTCTTGGGAAGCTATAAGTCAAAATGAATTTTCCAGTCATTTTAATGTTCTTTGCATTTGCAATGTGTAACGTGTGTAAATCAGAAGATGAAATGAAGACTGTAATAGAAGGGGATGATGTACAACTTAATTTTCTTTATCCATGTAACAGTACAAGAGTTACACTACAGTACAGAAACAGAGAGCCTTTTTACATATTAGCAGATACAGAATCTATCGTTTTACCACCTGTACAAGTACTCAGATTCACTTTCAAGAATGAACGTGAACATGATCATTGTTCACTACAAGTTAGAATCAACCCTATACTAAGAAATGATGCAGGATTATTCATTTTCTTTGCCTATAGCGAGGAAGGTATATATGAAAGCTATTTTAAAAGAATCAGATTGGACGTTGATCTGCTGCCTGGTAAGGCATCTTGTACACTAAATGAAGAAGAGTACAGGGTTGGGAATTGGGTAGCACTGAATTGCATGGCTCTAGTTGGGAGTTTATCAAATCAAATTGAATGTTATCAAAATGGGGAGAAGATGCCTTCACTTCCATCCCCTCCTGAAATCAATGGCAGGTATTTGAAGCAAACCATACTTGTAAAGAAAAATCACTCTGTGTTTTGTTGTACTTCTACCTTGGAGCACTCAATAGATCTGTGTGATTGTAATGATTTTCAATGGAACCTACATGTAGCCAGTGACCTAAACCTGAGCTCAATCATAGATCCATGTAGTTCAACCACATCAGCGCAGGATCTAATAGAGATCACTGATAGTGCCTTCGCTCCCTCAAAACCAGTATCCACAACAGCAACAACTATCAAGATCAATTCCCACACTGGCTCAGTGCCACAGAAATATGTGGTTCTTTTTTGCCTTAGTTTTATTATCATAACTGGTTTAGTCATTCTTGTGATTGTATTAATGCTCAGATCAAGAAAATCAAAAGAGAAATTTATCAGATGGACACTTAAATTCAAATCAAGTTTGGATCAAAGTCCACCCGAAAATGGGGTTATGTTATAAGTTCATCACTCTTTAGTATCCCCCACGTTGACATTAATTTATTTGTACTCTAATGTCATTCAGTATTCTGCTTTTGTTCTTGCTGATTTTTTTCCTAATGTGTATCATGTCGTTAATGTGTTGAATGATTACTATGTTTGTATAGTGTACAGTACATTTCGTATTTTTTTTAATGGAAATGTGAAAATAAATAAATTAAATTTAATACATATTATCAATCTCAAATGTCATAAAGATGAGTTATGAAAAGATATAAACTTTATCTATTGAGAATAAGCAATAAAGTGCAATGTAAAAATCATTTTTCGAAATAGTTTAATTGTTTGTGGTTTTCAGCAACATAATATTATGGTCATTTTGTTACAATTTTCATGATTTGAAAACTTCATTATATACGTATTTACTAAATAATCAACTACCGGTATTCAAAAAATGTTTTTGAAAGTTTTTATCGTAAAGAAACAGCATGACTTGTACTGAAAGTTAGGTGTGTCTTTGTAGGAGGCTACTCATCTTCCAAATGTGTGTATTTAATCAGTATTACATTTGCTTTTAAAGTGTGTTCGTTTTGTGAAATAAGCAGTTAAAATACATCATCTGAAAAATTTATACTGAATGGTCAGTTTTGAATCGGTTTAGTGTCAGCTTGACAATGTGACTAAGGTATCTATTATTATCAGCGATAATATATTCAAAGACATTTTTGTATTGAGCCAATTTGTACATAATTAATTAAGTAAGACTAAGGTATCTAAAAGCAACTATCAGCAGTAATATATTCAAAGATGTTTTTATTGTGCCATTTTGTACAGCAATACCAAACAATCTTTGAAGGGAATGGTTGATTACCATTAGATATAAATTTTGTGTAAACGTAAATATTTTGTTCTGTTTTGTCAAAAGCTATACGCAGTTATACCAACAACACTTCTCTATTAAAATGTATTGTTTGTTATATGTAATTCAGTATATTGTAAGTAATTACCAAAAATTATTTCTTTACATTGTTTCAATATTTTATTAGGTAATGACAAAAACAATTTCTTTACACTACGGTAATTGTTTGAGTATTCTATTTTGTATATATAGAAGAACTTTTTAAAATGCATTGTTTGTAAAAAAAAAAAAAGAAGATACCTTAACCAAGGCAAATAGTCATTAAAAATGATGTACTGGGAAGAATTGAAAAAAAAATGTCAAAGGCTGGGCCTACATTGAATTTGTGTAAAAATACACAGATTAATTTCCAACATGTGTTGGTTCTGTACACGTTCATGTTGATATGTATAATTGTTGTTTTGTTTATTCTCCCTAGCTCTCTCTATTATTCTTCTCTCGCATGCTCCTCCCTCCTCTCGCTTTTATTCCGTCTCTCACTATATATCCCTCCTCCTCTCTCTCCACTCACTTCTCCCTTATTTCCCCCTCTCTCTCTCTCTCTCTCTCTCTCTCCTTGATTTTAATGAAACGTTACATAAAAAATAAAGAAACTACCCAAACTGAGTCAAAAAATAATTGAAAATGATTTATTGAAAGAAAAAAAATTGAAAATGATTTATTGACAAAAAACAATAAAACAAATTTGTTATTAAAATAATGTACACTATATTGATTTAAAATTTAATTCAGAACATTCATTACAAACATTGAAAACTTTTTTTCAAAGGATAATTAAATCATGGCACTTGTATTTACTACAAATATACCTCTGTATAAAAACAAGAACAAAATCATCAGAAAATAAAAATGAGGCATGATCATGGCATGTCCCCCCCCCCCTCCCGACGCAATACATTCATTCTACACACCCTCCCTCCCCATCTTCAATTACATATTCTTCACATATAATAAATCAAACATCACCAACTATTGGACTCTAAGTAAGACGTTTTGTGGAATCACAAAGATTGAAATGATTCATGTGTTTGTGTGTGGTTGAAATTGGCATTTAAATCCCAATATTAGACACAAGAGCAGCACGGGTGGTAACGCACCAATCATGAAAGAAAATAAGAGTGAGAGTAACAAAAATAGCTGAGTGGTGGCGGGGGGGGGGGGCTAAAAGAGAAAGATAAGACAAAGAGAGAGGAAAAAGATCATCTAAAAATATACATGGGATAACAACAATTTAAATAATTTTTAAACTGAGCATGATTTTTATTTGGAGTAGAAAAGTAGATGAAATGGAAACATTTAATAACGTTCTTTCCCTCTAGTCATCTTTCCAATTACATAATTGTAATACTGTAAAATAGATCGAATAGACTTATATGCAGTGAATTGGCATGATCTATTTTACAACTTCCTGCAGTTATTCATTGATTAAAAATATTGTTCTTTCATTCAAAAGCTTAGATGTTACAGACAATACAAAATATAGCATTATCAATGTTCTGTACATGTAGATATACTATCGGTATTCAATATTCAAAGTATGACAACAACTTCTTTTCATTTGTCTTTGGACAACAAGACGGCTACAATAAAGGATAATACAGAGTGAAATATCTCGGTCAAAATATAATATATGATTGTATTTCATACAAGCACTTACAAAAATAAGACATATCTATATACATGTATCTTTAATTCAACCAATTTCAATTTGACCCATCAGATCTAAATTGTACCTTCCTTTCTCATTGATAATTTATTGCAGTACTTGTCACAACTTTTCTGTCCCCGGCCAGTGATCTATTTATCTGTTCATTTGTTTATCCACTCGGTAATTAATTTATTTACTCATTCACTCAATCAATCAAAATAATCACACATTGATTGATTAATTTGTTTATTCATTCATTCATTCATTAAAGGGAACCAAAGCCTTCATACTAAGTTTCTTTTATTGTAAAGTTTGGAATAAAATCAGTGAAAATTTGAAAAAAATCGGGCAAGGAATAAAGAAGTTAAAGATTTTTGAAATGACTAGTCACTAGAGGGCGATATTCAATTTGATGACATCATTTGTGGACAACTCTCCAATGCCTATTGTACATCAAATTTCACAATTCTTTCATTTTCTTCATATTTATTTGTGTTCTTGATCCGACTTCATAACATGTGAAGTAGAATATCATTTTGCATTCTATACCTTGCTTTCAGGGGAATAGATTATCTCAATCCCAAGAAAGAAGGAAAAACATGAAATTTGATGTCCAAAAGGCATGGAGAGTTGTCCACAAATTATGTCAGCAAATTGAATATTGCCCTCTAGTGGAAGTCATTTAAAAAAGCTGAAACTTACTTATTCCTTACCCGATTTTGTTCAAATTTTCACTGATTTTATTCCAATATCTTAAACTTTACAATAAAAGTAACTTAGTATGAAGGTTTGGGTTCCCTTTAACTCACTTTTTCACTCACTCATTCATTCATTCCCTCACTCTTTCACTCACTCTTTCATTCCTTTATCATTGATTCACTTTCCTGTAGGTACCTCGATTAAAGACAACATAAACAAAAGGAAAATTTGATGTCCTATTTTTCATGGAAGCCCTAGTTGGCAGAGCACCTGATGATATCCTAATGTTTCAGGTCTATAGGTAGCTGTAGTTGGAGATGGTCAATCTGCAACAAGATTTTAAAAAAAATATGCCCACATGAAAACAACATTTTCATCTTGGGTTCTCACAGGGAACTTGCCATCATTTGGGTAAACATTTGATACAACAGATGTTCATATCCTATATCCTAAGTAGGATATAGGATATAGCAGGATGCGAAAGCTATAATGTGCTTAGATATTAGCAAGTGTGCGCATGTAAAAATGACGCCTGGCTGGAATGCTCCCCAGGGAGTGGAGAATGTGCATACATTGTGTGCAATGTTATTATTATTATTATAATATTATGCAAGATGCAGGAGTAGAAAGGGCAACCATTTCTGCACATAGTGCATCCATTTTTGTTTCATGAATATATTGCGTTTGATGCGAAGAGTTTTAAAAAGGAAAATAAGCTTTAAAATCTTTAATTTGGCAACACAATGAGAGATTCAAAATCATTTTTTTTTTTCCATCAAAATTTGACATTTTCCAACTTTTTGACTACGGTACATTATTGCCCATGTCTAGTGTTTTCAGAGACATTACATTTTATTTTATATATATATATACATATACACTTTTATATATATATATATAGACTTACCTTGGATGAACCTCATTCTTTGGGTAAATGGTTTCCTACGTCAGAGCTCTTCCATGATGCATTTGTACTCCCTCTGATGATCGACAAGTTTCAAGAACACTTCATGTTTTTTGATGTAGTACACCCTCTGTTGTTCATCTGGCCAGACAACTTTACCCACGCCACACATTCGGCTCATTGCACTCTATGGCGGTGGGGGGGGGGGGGGAGGAATGATTTAGTTAAATAAATATCAGAAAGGACAGAGATTAAAAAGATGAGTGACTTGATAATAGTAAAAATTGAAACAGGTGCAGTTTTGGGTGAAACTTTATAAATGCTATTATAATTTTTTTTTTAATTTTTAAGTTTCTGCAATAACAAACATACATGTAACATTCAAAGTGGATATAAATAAATGAATAGGGCATGATTGGCTAAAAGAAATTGCTCATATATCTAAACTGTTGTAACATATCTCCTTTTCTCTTCATTTATTCTTCTTTTAAGCATGTACACTGTAATAATACTGACTAATAGACAGAACAAAATACATATTGCAAATAGAGATACATTGAAGAGGCATGCTATAAACACAAGGCTTGTAGAGTTTACCCGGTGATAGGGTCCTGCAAATTTATGAAAAAAGCCAGTGGGTAGTTATATAGATATTCAGAGTTCAACACCATTACATGATCACTTTGCTGTATCTCCCTGACCTTACCTATCCAGACCCCCCTTCCCACTAAGAAAATAAAAATAAAACAAACTCAAAACATGCCTGGGAAGAAATAGCAACCACACACATTGTGAAATACTATGAACTTAGAAAAGAAATACAATGCATCATAAAACAACAACGAAAAATGTTCTTTTTATGGTCAAGAAACTTACCTCGAGGTCAAATCTCCCAGAAGCCTTTGCTCCCAAGATGGCTGCCCCAACCAATACTGACTCAGACTCCTTAGGCAAGACTATAGGCAGACCTGTGAGAAGAGGGGGAGGGGGGGGGGGGGTTCAGACATAAAGAGGGGAAGGGGGTCAGACAAAAAGGAGCTTGTTGGAACAATGTATAAATTATCTTCATTTAACTTTTCCATAAAATATGAAAAAGAAACAAAACACAATTAAAGAATAAATGATGACTTTTGCATACCACTGTATCACCTTTTAATTGACATTTATCTACCATGGATCTCATCCTAACTTACTACATAGGTATTACAAACATTACCAGTAAACATATAACAGAAAGCATTTATCATATTTACAGATTTATTTTGATAATTTATTTGAATTTCCATATTTTTTTAATACTATTCACCCTAAACAATGAATCTTGACAAAAATAAGTAAATTTTGGTATCAATGGGGAAATTGTATTAAAAGACCAACTCTCAACAGCAGCCGCTTTTGTTTCCCTCGAGCAGTCTTCACATATAAGTTGACTGAATCATGAATCTGGGGGAACCAACACTATGAACATGACTGACAATGAGAGCGGACAAAATATACAGTTCCTCAGGTAGACAAAGGAACATCCCTTCACTGCTATTATGTAAAAATGTGTAGAACAGGTGTCACATGCATATTCACCTTTTTACATAATAGCTGTGAAGGGATGTTCCTTTGTCTACCTGAGGAACTGTATATTTTGTCCGCTCTCATTGTCAGTCATGTTCATAGTGCAAGCATCTCACCTGTAACATCTGCATGGGTTTGTAAGAACAGATCACTCTTACACAGACCACCACAAGCAAAGAGAGTTGAGATGTCGTAACCAGATTTGACCATTTGTTGGACTATCAAATGTGTTCCATGCTGTTATCAATAAATGCAAAAAAGTGTGAGATTAAGGCAAAGCAAAGCACAGCAATTTATCAGATAAACAATCACTTTCATTCTCGAATCTCGATAGGAGATCATTTTCAAATTGAAGTAATGTTGTTAAATATTAGTGTCCTTTTAACATAACTTTTCTTGGTTGGTTTCACACAGATTTTGATATTTACTGATACAATGTTGGAAATCAAAGGCAGAATTTCAGTTGTGGTAAATTGTGTGTATTTTAAATGAACAGTAGATTAGATAATAATCAAAATACTTAAAATGTAAAAGCTATACCCTTCAAAATGACAGAATGCATCAACTAGAAAAATAGCCCTTCTTACATTAGAACACATATTCCTACCACAACTATTATTTAAAAAAAAAGATTCCCTGCAATTTTCTTTGGGATTAATATCCCATTGTCACCATTATTGGTTTATGAACAATTATGAAAAATATAATAGATGAAGCTGAATAGCTTATTTGGCCCATAGAACAAAGAATATCCAACCCAACTTACTGCTAATGCCTGAAGGGTAGCAAGGTAGAGAAGTGCTAGGTCATCCAGACTGGAAGACAACCTCAAACCACAAATCTGCAACAAGAAGAATAGAAACAACTAGATTATCAATCAGTCTGAAACCCAAATTATCATTAAATCAGTCAACATTGCATTAACTGTCAACAAAAAATTCTCAACAAACTTGAGCATGTATTGCTGCTATAGTTGTACATTTTGACTTGTGTTCATTATACTTGAACCAAAAAACTAACATTTGTAAATGTAGAATTGGATGATTTTTTGATAAATATCTGTCACATGACATGGGTTAATGTTCCTTTGATTTCGCCCAAACAATGATCATTGATGTGACCATTGATTATTATAACACAGAGAGTATATATACATGTAATTTATTATTGCCCTGAACTTGTTTTGATTATCTATTTATATGATTACTGGTAGTAGGAAAGAAAATTTTGTCAAAGTGTCCCTTTTTTTGCCAATTTCTGATTAGAGAAGAACTGACCATTCCTTTCAATGTAGGATCAGCAAGCGGTGATCTGTTGCCATAGAAATAAGGACAAACATGGAGATCTCTGGTGAGCATGGCTGGAGACGAGAGGTGTTTTTCTCTGGCCATGGTCATCAATTGGTCATCTAACCATGTGTACATATCACAACCTCTGCAAAGAAAAAGGAAATATCAAGACGTTGGTTGCACAATTCTTATCATTTAACTGTTCCAAATTTGAGCAGTAAAATTATTTAATAGCTGAATTATGTCTTTACATTACAGCAGTACTTTCAGGTCGGTAAAATGGCTTTTAGATGCGCAACTTCGGTTAGCTTGCTTTGCTATCATTTCACCCTTCCATGTCTCCCCTGCATGCCCTTACCTTCCTTCTGCATGTAAGCTATCATCTTTCCTCTTCTATATCCTACCTTTCATTCTACCTCTCTGCTGCCGTTTGTACTCTGGCAACTAACATCTAAGCCCATGAGTCCATAATCGCCTCTCTACTAGCAACTCAAACTCCCACCTCCACGCTGGTGCCGGCTGGATAACTCGGGTCCGCTTTGTGGCCTGGGGAAACCGACGGGGGATGAGTCTGGGAAGGAAAACCCTAGCGTGAAACCAGTAAGAGTTCTCCTCTTGCTTTATCAGTGAATTCATTCACAATATCAATAGAGAAGGAAAACTCATGACAGCTTTTAGAACTAAACCATACTGTAGGAGTTGCAACCACAGATATTATAAGCAAATGAAAAACTATGATGGCACAACCTAACAACACTAGGGTTAAAGTCCCTAACACAACATGTCCTGGATCAGGCATCGATTCCTTAGAATCTCATGACGGCTTGCCCTCAAAGCCTTATGGAAGGGGTAAATCTGATGATGGTGTCTGTAAAGGACGACCATTTTTAAGATGTAGAAAGACAGTAATTGTATCAACTATGAATGTGAGAACTATTAGGGAGCAAAGAAATAGAGAAGAGCTATCAACCAATTTAACAGCGCAGAACATTGATATTTTGGGAGTACAAGAACATCGAATAGTACATAATGAGCCTATCAGATATGAGAAAGTTCTAAACAACATGCTTATAACATCATCTGCAAACAGAAGTTCAGCCGGAGCTGCAATAGGAGGTGTGGGATTACTACTAAGTCCCAGTGCATATGACTCCCTAGCTAGCATGAGATCACATTCTGACCGAATACTCGTCGCAAATTTTCAAGGAAACCCTGCAACTACAGTCATTACAACTTATTGCCCAACCAACGTAGTGAACGAGGATATCATTGAAGGACACTACGACAATTTAAGAAGAGCAATTGACTCCATACCAGCACACAATGTTCTTCTTGTGGTTGGAGACTTTAATGCCAGAATTGGACCTGAGGATGCTAAATATACCTACCATGAAACAACCAACAGAAATGGAAAGTACTTAGTGGACATGGCAGTTGAAAAGAACCTAGTTATAGCAAGTGGTCAGTACTGTAAGAAGAAAGGGAAATTGTGGACCTATATTAGCCCAGGTGGAAGTAAATGCCAACTGGATTATATACTAATAAGGAAAAAGTGGAGGAACAGCTTGAATAATGTTGAGGCGTATAGTACTTTTGCCAGTGTAGGATCCGACCATAGAATAGTATCTGCAAGAGTCCGTCTGAGCCTTCGAAAGAGCAAAACCTTGGCAAAAGGAAAACAGCACGATTGGAAACTTCTCAGCACTGACAACCACCTTCAGAAGCTATACAGCATTGAAGTCCGCAACAGGTTCCAGCCCCTAGAGAAGGAGGAAGAATCAGCTACCGAGAGGTATGAGCGATTCATAACAGCACATAAGGAGGCTACTGAGAAAGTTATCCCAGTGAAAAAGAAGACAAGAAAGTTGCATTTTCCCAACGATACACGTGTAATCAGTGCTAGAAATAAGATCAATAAAGCCTACATGGAGTACCAGAAAGATACAACTGATGAAAATCGGCAGATCTACAAGCAAGCCAAGCACAACCTTGAGGAAGCATACAATGTAGTTATAGAAGAAGATCTTGATAGTAAACTAAAAGATGTGGAGAGAGCGCATGCCAACAGTAAACATGGGCAGAGCTGGAGACTCATAAATGACATAACCGGAAGGAAAGCATCCCCGAAAGGGCAGTTAAAAGGAGACACACAGAAAGACAGGGTCATAAACTGGTTCAACCACTTCAAGAATCTTCTTGGAAGCCCTCCAGATATAGATGATGAGGATGAAGAAATTCTGCCTATACTAGAGAGTCTGAACATCAAGACAGGGCCATTTGATCTTAAAGAGTATTCAAAGGCAATAAAGTCACTAGTAGAAGGGAAGAGCTTTGGGGAAGATGGCATACCACCAGAGGTTCTAAAAAGATGTGACCTGGATGAAATCATTCTGAGTTTCTGCAACAACGCTCTGATCAATGAAGAAAAGCCCCACCAATGGTCCATACTGAACATTGTACCAATACCAAAGTCTGGAGACCTGAGCCAAGGAGGAAACTATCGAGGAATCAGTCTAAGCTCCATCGTGGCCAAAACTTTCAATAGATTGATTTTGAACAGGATCAGACCTGTACTTGATAGTCACCTGAGAACCAACCAAAATGGATTCAGAGTTGGAAGGACCACAGTGGGACATATTTTGGCACTTCGCAGGCTTATAGAAGGAGTAAAAGAAAATCAGCTCCCGGCTATTATCACATTTATTGACTTTCGCAAAGCTTTCGATACCATCCACAGAGGCAAGATGTTGAAGATCCTTACTGCATATGGCATACCGGAACAACTGGTGAATGCTATTGACAAGATGTACGAAGACACCAAAGCAAAAGTAATATCACCTGATGGAGAGACTGACCTCTTTGAAATCATGGCTGGTGTGCTTCAAGGTGACACGCTTGCACCTTACCTATTTGTAATAGTCCTCGATTATGCCTTGCGAGCAGCTATAGACGGCCATGAAGAAGAACTTGGATTCCAACTAGAAAGAAGGAGAAGTAGGAGAGTTGGTCCGGAAATCATAACAGACCTAGATTTCGCCGATGACATAGCCCTGCTATCTGAGGAATTAGAGCAAGCCCAAAAACTCCTGAGCAGGGTGGAGACATCGGTAGGCAAGGTCGGGCTCCGGATGAATTCAGGCAAAACCAAGTTCATGTCATTCAATCACAGGGGGATCATCACTATAAAAACACATGATGAAACTCAGTTGGAGAATGTACCTGATTTCAAGTACCTGGGAGCACTGATGGTGAGCACAGAAAAAGATGTGAAAGCTCGTAAGTCAGCAGCATGGAGAGCGTGTAGCAAGCTTGGAAGAATCTGGAAATCTTCTCTTCCTAGGCAGTTCAAACAACGTTTGTTTGTTGCTACAGTTGAATCTGTGCTTCTATACGGCTGCGAAGCATGGACAGTTACAACAAAGCTGGCAAAAGAATTAGATGGTTGCTACACCAGACTTCTTAGGACAGCATTTAACGTGCACTGGAGCCAGCATATAACCAATAAGGAGCTGTACGGGAATCTACCAGAAGTATCAGAAAAGATCAGGGAAAGAAGACTACGTTTTGCAGGCCACAGCTGTAGGAACATCAATGAACCAATATCTCAGCTTTTACTCTGGAAGCCTAAACACGGGAAGAAGAAACCTGGAAGACCTCATCTTACTTATACAGACCTACTCAAGAAGGATACGGGACTTGAACTGTCAGAGATAAAAGCAGCCATGCTGGACAGGAATGTGTGGATGGCCATCACAGCTCGGGCAGTTGACCCGACTTAAGCAAGTAAGCACTTTCATAATACTGTATTAACCTTACAAAGCCGAGAATTAAAAACATGGGGAGGGGGGAATTAGATAAGGAAAAAACGGAATATGAAAAGATGGATTTGGAAATGAAAGTCAACCATCATAAAACAAGTTAGCGGTATTATATTAATCTGTTTTATACTTACATCGTGCATGTATATATGTTTGTTATTATGCTCTATTCATTACGATCATTGGAAATTTCTGATCCTGAAAAATTTAACCTTACCAAGTTTAGAGTACTTACCAGATAAGAAAAAATTATCACTTTATAGCAATTTCATACCTCTTTTTGCTCTGTTCTGTAAGCAGATCAACGGCAGGATGAGTGTGTATGATATGATCAATGAGCTTGCCTGTACAGCTCTCTCCTCCTTCGTTCCCCCAGAGTCCTGGCACCATACAGCTGTAGTAAGGACCCCAAACACCGGGCACAAAGGTCTCCTTCTTGCTCAGCTGAAAAAGAGCATACATCAAAATGAGAACAGAGAACATAATATCGTCGGCCTTATGCCAAAAGGGCCTTAACTGCTTTTGGCCATTCCGAGATAATCGCGTTTAAAGGTTTTGGCCTCTCTAATAATCAAAAGTTTGTGGTCGTTTTTTTGTTTTTGAAGCCAATATCAATAAATATGTTAAGTTATTAAGTTTTACATGAAATGTGTTAAATGTGTTATAAAATATTCAGAATTGTACATGCTATGTGCAAAAAACATGTTAGGGCCTTTTTGGTATAAGGCTTGAATGCAGCGTATTTATGCCAGAAGGGCCGTAACCTACTCGGCATTGTGCCAAAAAGGGGCGTAACCTACGCGTCGGTATGCCAAAAGGGCGCGCATAGTACGTGCGCATAGTTAGCGCCCTTCTGGCATAAGGAAATTTTCTTGTTTTGCAACACCTTTGGTTTGCCAGAAAGGCCCTCCTACGGCTATTGGATCACGAAAACTGATAAAACTGGTTAATTAAAATGTCTGAAAAGGGATTTTTGATATCTGAATATTTTTATTAATATAATGCAGCTTTCGGTAAAGTTATTTTTTAGAGATCGTACATTTATAACACCTTTTTCGTTGTTTATTTTTCATCACAGTCCCATACGTTGACCATTGTATTTCAACGAGTCGGTCGCATTTCATTTATCCATACCTAATTTAAATCTCACTCAGATTTCATGATCTAAATTCATGACATATACTTTCAGTGATTATTTTAAGTACATTGTGTCTATTCTAGACTAATCATGTTTTTAATGGTGTTTCTACTGATATTTATTGAATTAAATGGAAATTACGAAATAATCTGTCATTGATAAAAGATTTGCCGTGTAGGTTAAGGCCCTTTTGACGTAAGGAATTTTGAAATTCATAATTATCTTCATAAATAAATCAAATTTCAACAAGCACATCATTTTAAAGAGAATGATGAAATCTACAAGGTGATGTTAATAACTCAATAACCCCCAAATCGGGTTAAGGCCCTTTTGGCATAAGGCCGACGATATATTATAGGACTACAATAAAAGCAGTAAGGCTGCCCTATCCAGCTCTCTCCTCGGTCCCCCCCCCCCCCCCCCCCCTGGAGTGCTGGCACCATAGTGCTGTAGTATGGAACACAAACACCTGGTACAAAGATATCTTTCTCGCTCAGCTGAAAAGGGAAGGAAGGAAGAACAAAGCAAAGTGAGTATGTGGGGCTAAGCCAAAAGTAATGTGGGGTAGAAATAAACAAAGAAATATACTACAAACTGAATATAAAGTATTATATAAATTTAATACAATAGAAGTTAGACGTGCTCTTTATGAACATATACATACAGTATACTTTACTGACTTTACTGTACTTTAGCTTAGTTGTTCAACATTTCAATGTCTCTTCTGAATAATGCATCAACACTTCATTGGCACCTTAGGTCAAGACCATTGCCTGAGATACAAAGTAATACCAATATTCCGAAACCTCAATAAAAGTATTTCCTAGTTTCAATCTTTCATGCTAGTTTCATCTCAAGTTGTTTAATGTGGTCAAAGTTGGATTGCATCATAACTAAAGTCTAACGCATCACAACTATAATCAGACATGTCATAGCTAGTAGACACCTCTCTATAAAGACCACCTGTCTATAGTGGCCTTGTATTTTGTCTCCCTCGAGAAAGAAATGTGTGTTGTAGAACCTGTCTATGAAGGTCACCTGTCTGTAGTGGCCATATATTTTGTCTCCCTCGAGAAAGAAATGTGTGTTGTAGAACCTGTCTATGAAGGTCACCTGTCTGTAGTGGCCATATATTTTGTCTCCCTCGAGAAAGAAATGTGTGTTGTAGAACCTGTCTAGAAAGGCCACCTGTCTATAGTGGCCAAGTATTTTGTCTCCCTTGAGAAAGAGATACATTATGTGTCACAGAACCTGTCTACAATGGTCACTTCCTCTATTTACCTTGGGTGGCCTTTATAGACAGGTTTGACTGTACATGACCACTCTGTCATCAAGAGGTTGCAGCTAGGTCATGCACCATGGTATACTCACACTCATGTGACATGTTGACGTCCCACAGATGAGAGCAAGCCTGGAGGTCAAAGGTCGAGTTTCACAAGGCAGCTTCAAGCCAGACACATCTGCACCCAACATTCCTTTATCGAAAAAAATTAAATCAAATTGATCAAGGCAGGGCTCAAAATTAACAAAATCTAAACTCTCCTGGACCCCTCTAATTTTGAAGTCTTTACATTGGGCTCAAGCATTCAAACTCTAAAATATACAATAGGACCCCCTTTCCAAAAAGCTAGTGTGGAACCCAGTGGCCTGGTTGTGCAAAATGAAATTTTATCCAAGACGAGTTGTAAAAAGAAGGCATATTTACCATCAAATAATAATCATTTGAATTGAAGTTTACTTTTGAGGAAAAATATAGGCCAGTGTTAACCACCATGATATAAGGGCTAAACATATTCGGTATCATTTAGTCTGTCTTTTCTATTTTTAGTACTCACCTATGCCTCCAGCATAAGCATCAATTATTCCTGTTCCTACAGGTAGTCCTGGTCTTAGTCCAAGCTCCTCAGCAGCACCATGACTAAGACCATCTCCACATGGATCCCCTGGGAGCTGGAAAAGGTTTCCTGTTGGACAAGAAGTAGTAAACCAATGTAAAACAAAAAAAATGGAAATATTTATTTTTGGTTGTAATAATGCAAATATATTACCACAATGCATCTATGAGGGTATTCAATTTTACGATAAGAGAATAAGAAAGTTAGAAGCACACGCTATTCTCACTGAATCTCAATATAACATATATTCCTCTTACATAATTGCCTTGATCTATTGTTTCCTTTTGATAACAAATATGGTAACTGGTAAACATGGAAGACGAGATGGCTCAGTGGTAGAGCAGCGGTCTTGTAGCTTGGGCATCCCGTGTTTGAACCCAAGTCGATGCGCTAGTGCTCTTTGGTAAGGCATTAATCCTCATTTACAAGTCCCTCAGAGAGGATCTAAAGCTGTTGGTACCCTGGTTGCTCACTTACAAGCATACACATCTGTTCTTCGCAGTCAGGTAAAACCAACCAACCAATCACATACAAAATAATAATAATAATCTGACAGCTAATTATAGAATAATCATGGCTAATCATGAATAATCATCTTACACTTCACAATCACATTTAGATTATCGTTCTACAATGGTTGAAATAGGCATCAGGGAAGCAGCATGGCTTGACAACTTACCTATTTTCTGCTGTTGATCTTCCAGGAGTTCCTTGAGGCCGATACTCTCATAGAATGATGAGTTCCACTCTCTCAGTCCTGTGTCGTTTGCTTGGAACATCCACTTACATACCACTGTGCACAGAGATCTAGAGAGATGCAGAGAGAAAATAGATGATGGAACACTATTCTTTAAACTTATGCTTGACAATTCTGTTGAATAAGCAGCGAATCTAGTGTTTCATTAGTCTCAACACCATATTATAAACCCATACAGATGGGCAGAGAAGTTATGGAAAAGCTCTGGAAACGTAATAATTAAGCTTGGGGACAAATGAAAATCCCCCCTAAAATCAATCTCCCTTTGTTATACAAAACCAACACAAAGTGAGCTCTTTTGAACAAACCAGTTATTTCTGCACTTGTCTGCTTGGAAGCAAAATGAGCGTACTAAGAACTGTTTAACCCTCATTGTTACAAAAAGTATAGAATTGGGTTTCACAAGTCATATGTCTTGGGATAATTTTTAAATCATAAATCTCCTTTTTTTTCTTTTATTTGAAAATTTTAAAAAAAGACAGGCTTTTTTGGTTAAAAATAGTAAAGCATTTAAATTAAGATATTTTAAACTGCCTCTGATGGTGAAAGAATTTAATTATTTTGAAATACCTTATCTGTGATCCAGTGGCTCTCCATGTCATGAAGTCAGCTAAATCCATGAATGTACCTGCTTTCTGCCAACACGCCTCAAACAGATTCTGTGAAATTAGAATCGGCAAAATGAAAAAGAAATTACATTTATGGCACCATTTAAAATAAGAATTCAGGTTAGAAATCCTTCACTATTTGTTAACTACTCAAAAGCATCATTTCAGAAGGCCACTCTTAATCAATCTGAATAAAAATGGATGGAATATATGCAGATATACCAGTAATCTGTGCAAGAACCTTGAAAAAGTGCTCATTCCATACAGTATCAGTTAATGTGAGTGACAATTAATGTCACTTTTCCTACCATTAAAGATATCATTTTTTTTTAGAATACTGCCCCAATATATTCTGAATATCAGAATCTTTTTAGTATACTCTATGATCCTAACCAAACTAGAGCTTGAATCAGACCAAATTAACATGGAAAATCATTGATAATAAATGACGATTAAATTGTTTATTTTCCATTATTATTAGTAATGAGTGGGAAATAAATGATTAGATGACCTTTGACCTGCCCCTTTACCTCTTTCAACCATAGCAGTTTTGGTGGCTCCATCTCCAAGGATATCTCCCCTCCCGTGAAGCGTAGCGCTTCATGGCCCGCCTTGTTGATTCTCTCTGCTTGAACCTTAGCACGATGATCCATCCACATGATGATGTTCCTCTCATTGTCACCTACACAACAAGATGAATGGATTAAAATGGATTATTTGATCAAGGCCACTAGCAAATTTGAACGAGGGGCAAGGGGGGCAAATTTGCACCTCCTGATAAATTTTTCTGAGAAAAAAATTGATTTAATAATGGTTTACACTGCTCTCCGAAATGCATGAAACATTTAGACACTTTCTCAAAAACTTACAGCTTAGTAGTAAAACAGTGATGTGTAGCAATATTTTGTTTCCATTTTTTTTTTATTCATCATTATTATAATTATTTTTATTTGTTCATTTATTATTATTATTTTTTATAAATTTGTTTGGGGGAGGGGGGCCGGGGCTGAACTATGTGCATTACAGGTAAGCTCTGGTATCTTGCCCCTCCTGTTGGGCATAGATCCAATATACCACTTGCTCGATCCTGCCAAATTGAGCAAGGATGCACAGAACTATGTAAGGGTAAGTCAACATTGGCATCAACTTGATTTTAATAAAGGCAGCAAAAAGAGAAGCTAATCGGTGAAGGTTTGAGAAAATGTGATAGAGAATAACCAGCTTTATCAGCTTTGCTTGATTCTTGCTATTCATTTTGACAAGAAAATTTCATGGATAATTGATTTGACTGTAATCCCTCAAAAAACCAGACATGCAAACCTATATCACTCTTGACAAACTATTACATATTTTTGATCCCATTATACAGAACAAAGAAATTCTGTTTTTTTCAAATCATTTTTCCTTCCTCAACTTAAGACATCAAATGTCTTCAAATTTAATATAGTTTGAAAATATTTGAGGGGCTCTAAAAAGACAAGTATGGCTGGAAAATCACAAGTAAAATTCAAAATCAAAATGCATTTATTGGGCAAACAAGATTTGTGTCACATTAATTGATTGATTGATTTAAAAGGTTTTATTATAATTGCACTTCGCAGCCAGATGGCTGAATTATGAACAATTTATATTGGCAATAATTCAATTCAATTCAAGTCAAGAGTTCTTTATTCGCTTTAAAAAGCACATATAAAAAAAATAACAAAAAATATACAATATATTCTACAAATAGGCACATTCACAATATATGTAAAGACAAAAAAACAACATCAACAACAGAATACATGTATAACAGGGTAAGATCAGAGTGTGCATAAATACAAGATAATTTCCTCGCACTCCTCTCGGTTAAGGAAACCCTTACATAAATAATCATCCCTCGAGTTGATCAATTCCTTTACTTGTTCAACTATGCGTATTGTCTCATCATTCACTTGGCATTGCACAGCCCACTGCTTTTGAATTTCATTGTTATCCATGAAGTACTTATCATTCAAGAATCTTATGTTACCTCCCAACACAGAATGAGCTCCATACCTGGCCATTCCAGCTATATGTGCCACTGTATAATTTTTGGAATTCATAGCTTTCACAACAAAAGATAAACATCTTTTTGCAAACCATAACTCTGGATCCATAACACCTGCTAAATAAGGCAAAAGATACATACAAATTTGGTTTGAAATTCTCACAAAGTATAATATATAGTATATAACAAAATTCATAACAAAATTCATAACCAATATGACTAAGGCAATAACAGACAAATTAAGTCAGGTTTAAAATATATTTTGTGAGGTGACACAAGAGTGGGTCAAAGGATGAGCAAGCAGGCCCTTTGCTCTTTAATACACGCTCTCATTCCTATACACGCTCCTATTCTCACTCCTGTACCATGGATACTCTCATAAACACTCACATTCACACTCCCATACACTAGCTAAGGTCTGCTCGCCCATCCCACTTCTCAAACATCTGCACTGTCAAACTAGTGAACAAAGAAAGACTGAGACATTATTGTACCTGACTGGCTTACAGACAGTGGCTTCAGTTCCTTATCTAGCGCCACCAGGGAGCATGTAGCATCAAATCCGATGCCTTGGACTGACTCTGCAAGGTCATCTGAGGTCACTTGCTGTGAGAAATGGTAATGAACAAGTATAGAATATTAAATTGTGATTGTTGAAAAGTTATGTTGATCAAATGTTTACTTCATGATTATATGCTAAGAAGCTATGATGCAAGTTTTAGTGACAATTTCATCTGTTCGCCTGTCTTTTCGGGCTCCTTAGTAAGACAATGTCTTGTAATGCCCTCCCATAGCTCATCAATACACCACTGTAAAGAGTTTGTTCCTTAATACAACAGGTCCATCGCTGGATCTGTGGGAAGACTCAACAAGATTATCACCTGCTGGGCCTATAACTGAACTTGTCGAGCTGTGTTGAAAAATAGGCATCATGACAAAACGTTATTGATGAAAGACTCCATAATATATTCTATAAACTTATACATAGAATGTGTGCTCATATTAATATAGGCCTACATCGTACTTAGATATAGGCGCATTTCTCTAAAATATTATTTCATAATCAAGATTTATGAACATTCATGTAGCTGTATAGGTTAACTAATGAAATGAATATCAATTGAAATACATTCAACAACGATTTCAATTCATTTACAGAAATGTAGGACCGGGTCCTCCATCTTTTCTATTCTTTTTCTTTTGCTAGCCCCATTCCCCCCCCCCCCCAAAAAAAGGACAAAAATGATAAAGTGATCTGAAGCGGGAATGGTCGCTGAGTTGATAAAAATGACATAAAACCAATCGCCACTTACCGACTTTATGCGTGTTGGATGAATCCTCCAAAATAATATACACAGTCACAAATATTGCACCTTTTCCAAAATGGCTCACTACAAATTCACCACAGATAAACTTAACTTGGCTAGCACAAGCGATTGATCTCTGGGTGAATGATAGAGAAATGATATATAAAATGATGATCCTCCAAATGAAGTGCCGGAGATAGATAAGTTCCAAGTGTACGCAGGAACAAAGTAAGAAGACGTTCTCGAATTGACTTGTTACTTCGTCGAAGAACTATGAGAAGTGTAGTAGTGAAGAAAGTTAAATAGATGTTGTTTTCATCCTTCTTGGGAGGCAGGATAAAACAAAGAGAGTTTTATACCAAATTCTGGGAAGGGAGAATGAGTCACTGGTGATTACCAGGTACAGGGACATTGAAGCCATTATGCTGACACTTGTTGATAAATATATAGGGGCAGTGCCTGGCATAATGTCAGAGGGCAATGTCCTCCCAAATTGGGTTTGCAAAATAACAAATGACATTAAGAAATGAAAAAGGATGAAATGAGGAAAATACTACATCAGCCCCCTCCTAGAACGTTGAATAGAAGGAAACGGGCGATAATAGAGAAAAAGTAATAGTCCGAATGAAAATATGAGAAAGTCTCATTTGAAATGCCAAACTTGAACATAGCGATCTGAGAAATGTACTGTTCTCCCTGAACGAGTTACAAGCATGGTATGTGAAAGGCTTTCAGTAGTAATGAATAGAACAGTAATACATGACATGGTATGCATCGAATAAACGTGTATAAATGCAAGAGCATAAAACATTCGAAACAAAATCCAGAATGTATACATTTGAAGAAAGACAAAAATGAAATTGTTAAGTCCAAAAAATCAGGGAATAATAAAATTGTACAACCAAGCTTCCAAGTATCACGTCGGGGTCACCAGTGAAGCGGGAATGGTCGCTGAGTTGATAAAAATGACATAAAACCAATCGCCACTTACCGACTTTATGCGTGTTGGATGAATCCTCCAAAATAATATACACAGTCACAAATATTGCACCTTTTCCAAAATGGCTCACTACAAATTCACCACAGATAAACTTAACTTGGCTAGCACAAGCGATTGATCTCTGGGTGAATGATAGAGAAATGATATATAAAATGATGATCCTCCAAATGAAGTGCCGGAGATAGATAAGTTCCAAGTGTACGCAGGAACAAAGTAAGAAGACGTTCTCGAATTGACTTGTTACTTCGTCGAAGAACTATGAGAAGTGTAGTAGTGAAGAAAGTTAAATAGATGTTGTTTTCATCCTTCTTGGGAGGCAGGATAAAACAAAGAGAGTTTTATACCAAATTCTGGGAAGGGAGAATGAGTCACTGGTGATTACCAGGTACAGGGACATTGAAGCCATTATGCTGACACTGGTTGATAAATATATAGGGGCAGTGCCTGGCATAATGTCAGAGGGCAATGTCCTCCCAAATTGGGTTTGCAAAATAACAAATGACATTAAGAAATGAAAAAGGATGAAATGAGGAAAATACTACATCAGCCCCCTCCTAGAACGTTGAATAGAAGGAAACGGGCGATAATAGAGAAAAAGTAATAGTCCGAATGAAAATATGAGAAAGTCTCATTTGAAATGCCAAACTTGAACATAGCGATCTGAGAAATGTACTGTTCTCCCTGAACGAGTTACAAGCATGGTATGTGAAAGGCTTTCAGTAGTAATGAATAGAACAGTAATACATGACATGGTATGCATCGAATAAACGTGTATAAATGCAAGAGCATAAAACATTCGAAACAAAATCCAGAATGTATACATTTGAAGAAAGACAAAAATGAAATTGTTAAGTCCAAAAAATCAGGGAATAATAAAATTGTACAACCAAGCTTCCAAGTATCACGTCGGGGTCACCAGTGAAGCGGGAATGGTCGCTGAGTTGATAAAAATGACATAAAACCAATCGCCACTTACCGACTTTATGCGTGTTGGATGAATCCTCCAAAATAATATACACAGTCACAAATATTGCACCTTTTCCAAAATGGCTCACTACAAATTCACCACAGATAAACTTAACTTGGCTAGCACAAGCGATTGATCTCTGGGTGAATGATAGAGAAATGATATATAAAATGATGATCCTCCAAATGAAGTGCCGGAGATAGATAAGTTCCAAGTGTACGCAGGAACAAAGTAAGAAGACGTTCTCGAATTGACTTGTTACTTCGTCGAAGAACTATGAGAAGTGTAGTAGTGAAGAAAGTTAAATAGATGTTGTTTTCATCCTTCTTGGGAGGCAGGATAAAACAAAGAGAGTTTTATACCAAATTCTGGGAAGGGAGAATGAGTCACTGGTGATTACCAGGTACAGGGACATTGAAGCCATTATGCTGACACTGGTTGATAAATATATAGGGGCAGTGCCTGGCATAATGTCAGAGGGCAATGTCCTCCCAAATTGGGTTTGCAAAATAACAAATGACATTAAGAAATGAAAAAGGATGAAATGAGGAAAATACTACAGATCCAAACAAAGTCAGGGCATCTCTTTCCCTCAAAATGAAATCTAAGATTATTTTACAAACAATATTTAAAAGTAGAAGTTAACGGTGTACATAACCATAAAAGAACTTAACTTTCAAATTAACTTCTTTTTCTTCTCAATTTAGTGGTTTAAAAAAAAAAAAACGAAGTTCGAGTAACTCCTACAAATACAAATACATCTAACATTCTTGACTTAAAAGAAAAACATAAACAAAACAGATGATCAAATAAAGGTCTATCATACCTTAACAGTCTTGCAACATGCTCTCCAAATGTCATCTGATGATTGTTCGTAAAAACTTTCACAAGGATTCCAAATCTTAATCGGCTCTACTGCTACACGAATCACCTGGCCAGTTCCGCTCACCAGCGCAGCCCTGACGCTCGATGTCCCCACATCTACACCGACGAAATACACTGGGTTTCCGACGGTCGAAGTCATTACGAGTCGGGCTCGCGTTTGATCACTTTCTCAACCATGCATCAATGTTTCTGCTCGAAAAATATATCATCTAATTATGTAAATTATTATCATTATATAATTAATCAAATTACTTGAATGAAGCTAGGTTTGTGGGAAATAAATGAACAGCCGAAGAACAGAATTTCAATTTGGCCATTTGGCAGACCTTCCCAAATCAAATTGTTTACGGATGTACCGCCCTCTTTTGACCACGGACTTAACATGTTTTGACACAGATCTAAGAAAAATGATGATGGAAAAAAAAAATTCTTTAAAAACGAGGATTCTGTTGCATATTGATTATTATTCATTGAGATGACAATAATAAATGATTGTTCGATTTTTGGCTAACTCCCTAAAATACCAGGCATGCTGATGTCATTGTAATTTATTGATGTTTCAAAGAAAATCAATATCAAATTTGGTCTAAATATGGAAGTAGGCATAGGGGAGAATAAAGGGCAATGTCGAGCTGTCAACGGAGCTTGTGAGGTGCTGAAAACAGGATCAAATATTCCCGTTTGAAAGGGCAGATTAGTGGTAGGCCTACAAAACAATGAAAGCCCAGCCAATTTCAAACTTTCCAATGCCGTGGTCATTTGAAGCTTACTAAGTATCAACATTGTGCAACTTCCCCACTTAAAATTGGAGCTCATGGGATAAGTCTAGATATTTAGAGAAAGGGAGGGGGAGGAGAAAGGAAAGGAGGAGGAGGAAGGGATGGGGAGGAGGAGGAGGGGGGGGGGGAGGAGGAGGAGGGGGGGGGGGGTGAGCCAACTTAACACCCCGTAGAGCTCTTAAAAATCAATAGAACTGTTCTACATACATGTATAAGGAGTTAAGGACCAATTTATCCCAAGTCATAATACTCATAACATAGGCACAATACACTAATGGCTCCGAAAATCAATAAAACATATAAGGATCTATTTATCCCTAATTGCAATAACTAATAACAGCCCACACACTGCAGTAGGGTACGTCTATACAAAATACCAGTAAGAAACATGAATATACATGTACTAATGAAGTTAGTTTTGCAGAAAATGATAATTCATTTTTATATTTCTTTTTTGTTATCAAATACAAAAACGTAGAACATGTTTTTGAATTTCGATTATGAATAATTCATAGTAACATTATTTCATCTAGGCAATATTAAATGAAAGTGTGAAAACAGTATGCTTGTTATTGAATTATTGCCTTCTAATTTTTGGTCCACTTTACAGACATTGTTGACATACCGGTAAATCAAAATTCAAGAACAGGACCTAAACCTATCAGTTCAAAATCAATCTCAGATGAATAAAAGTAAACTATAATGCAGGATAGAAAGTTTCTTTATTCGAAACTTTTCATATTTACATAATAATTATTGCGCAAAGCGCGCGCCCTTAACTTGAAGGGGATTTTCCCTAATTATAGGTCAAATGTCTGCGGTTCAACGCACTTCTAAGTTTTTGCGCCTGCGCAAAGCGAACATAAATACATGTAATGTTGATTTGGCAGCAGCGGACGAGTTGAAGATTCCCACGATTTCGCTGTCATTATTTTCCACTTTAAAAATCATCGTTATCCTCCGGAGATATTCTCTGAGTATATTCACATGATAGCATGACCCTGTTTCATCGAAGATGACGAGTAACAACTCTTACCCGCTCCATGAATGTGTTTTTCGTGACAACTTGAAGCAACTTTCGATTCTCCTTCGCTCGCACAAATATGACATCGCACAGAAAGATATACACGGTAAGTCGAATCATGTAGAATTGTAGATGGATTGCATTTGTTGAATTGCGTTGCGGTGCTGAGCTGTGTCAGTGTGTTGTTACATCTGTAAATGTATGTGAACGACTGAAAGAATTTCGATTGGTGTTGTAATTGATATCATTATCAGTGTCCGTTATATTATGAAATAGGAAACCACTCATTCATGTGCATGCAAAGTCTATGAATGGGGAAAAGATTAGAGAGGCCATTCTTTCGAAAGCACAAACCACTTGTGCGTTTGACAAAATAAAGAGTTGTGACTGTGCGCAGTGAATGAGTGGTCCCCTAAGATTTTGTAACTATTCAATGGAAAATATAAATTAGTCTATATCATTAAATTCTATGTATTCAATTCAAGCATACCATACTAGTACTACTAGTGACAGACTTCTTCAAGTTCTCCTATTTCCCTCGTACGTGCAAGGACTGGAATAAGTTACCTGATAGCATTATCAACAGTGTTGATTCAACACAGGATCAATTGATTCCTTTAGGTCCCATGCGCTACAATTCCTAAAAGATTGCTCTATTCCATGACCACGTGCTTCGTTTCCGTGTCTTTATATGGACTAACAAGTCTGTCGACATGTACAGAAGAAGAAGAAGTACTACCAATCACCATAAAATATTTTGTTTAGTCTGTTTTCGGTTAGCAGATGTTAACAGACTGGTTTTATACCACCAGGAGTGTTGAGCCATATTATTTTCAGATTTAGATTCAGTTCCGTTTCGTAATTATATATCTTGATTTACATATGATCTTCAAACATTTGATTGAATACTTCTGTTAAGAATTTCAAGTTTAAAGACACTCTCAAATTATATAAAAGCGCCTAGTGAGTAGACTTCTTATCCCACCTGTACGCGCTCGTATGAAAAAGGGCACGCACAGAACCCAAGTCCTGCTTGTATTCGTTGTGCACCATCTTATGTTATTCTTTATTTTCTTCATACTCCTTACCTATTAGGCCATGGTATATAATTTATAAAATAAAATCAATGCCACTTCTTTGCAATCTTTGGCTTAAAGGGATCGTTTAACAATGTTAAATCTGAGATACACGGCCCTAAGTGTCATCAGTGTCTGTGATATGGTGTAATATTGAAGCCCTAAAAAAATTGCGCTTCAAAATGATCAAGAAGTGCCTCAAAAAAGTAAAAATCTTTGAGTGACTGGTTTTACCATACTCGTTTTCCCCAATAGACTGTAGTGTTATGAAAACCGTCAGGCGAACGGTTTTCAAAATTTGTAATTCCAATCATAAATATCTTGATAATCAGACAGGCGATCGGCTTGTAAAAGTCATGGGGCTCCTGACTGACCTAAAGGTTTATAATTATCATTGCATCATGAGCTAAATCCAGAATTTTGTTTCAGAATCTGAGACAAAGTTACCGGATCCCTTTAAATGTTATTTATTCGCTGTTTACCTATGTTGCTTGATTTTTATTTTGTACATTTCAATTTTGTATATATATGTATGTCTTGTTATCTTTGTAATAATATTTCTGTAAAAATCTGCTAATTGTTTTATAAGATAGTTCCTGATATCAAATGACTAGTGCATCTTAGCTTTATATTGTAAAGCACACAGATAATTCATTAACTACTTATTATGCACTATAAATTTAACATTACTATCATTACTATTTGTTTTATGCAGGAAACTCCCCACTACATCTTTCCGTCATATTGGGTCACAAAGGTAAGTAAAATTAGTTATGCCAAATTCGATAAATCATCATCTGATATAAATGCAGCCTTTATATGATTAACCTATACACATTCATTTTCTAATTATATCCACCTAGAATTGGAAGTCCAATTTCAAAGAGCAGTATTTAATTTTTTGTCTCACATTATTCCTTTTTAATTGATCTTTATAATTCCTTATTCATTATAGAACTGCTCGTTAGTGTTATTCATACATGTACAGCTTCTTTACTGGGACGACTTCCTTGTTCGTGCAGTAAGTGAGTGGCCAGTAAGACCCTGAGTTGTTGTTTCAAAAGAGCAAGATTAGTTGGCGTGCTGCCATGTTTAAAAAAACTAAAGCAGCCTTAAAATATGACATGATCAAGATGAATTTTAATGTGTGTATGCATGGCAATCCCCTAGTTGATAGTTTGACATTGTGGGGATCGCAAGACATCAATTTTTGGTGTCCTGGGGGTCTGTTAGTGTTGAGCCTTTGTATTGGGCAAAGATATTTGATCAACCTTCATTGCCAGAGGCGTATTTTTCCTCGATTTATTTTGCCAATTATTTTGGCAATTATTTTGGCATTACCTTTGTAGCCAAGAGGTCAACAAAGCCCCACATCACATGTAGAAAGGTCGGTGTGGGCTAGCCGCTGTGGGTTGTGGGAGTTTGTGTGTCTGGTGTTTATTTCAACAGATAATATTAGCTGTAATCTAAATATTCATATCTACCACTACATATCTATTTTTATGACCCCCCCCCCCCCCTCTCCCTCCAAAAGATAAAGAAAGTCTAGTGTGAATCAAAGCCCTATTCACTATTCATATTTTGTAAAGCGATCTATAGTTGGCAGGGCCACACACTTAATGTAGGAGGTCCAGTTTGTAATTGTTAGGGTTACGGTGTATGAGCCCCATGTAAATATTTAGAATTGTTTGGTCCAGATCCAGACCTATATTTTGGTGCCAATGTGTCTCTGGTGCTTGTTGATGTTGAGCCCTGAAATTGGTATGCATGTTAATGGATTCAACTTCTGATATTGTCTGTAATGACTTAACCCCTCTCTCTCAAATGTACATTGTTGTTGTTTTTGTAATTAGATTGTATGCACCTGTTATTGGCCCATGGAGCACCTGTCAAATCAAAGAACGTCCATGGATGGAATCCACTGGCAGAAGCCATCAGTTATGGAGACAGAAACACAAGTAAGTTCAAAGGGTAAATGTCAAAGGTAAATGTCAAAGGTCATGTAATATTTCAACCCCAGTTTATTGAGTATTTTTACCTTCAAGTCCAGTCCCATGCTTCAGTCCTACACTGCCATAACTAACGACCCCAAATAAAAACCAACCTACATGTATGACACACATAATCATGGCCATTCGGTGTAATGTACTTTTGTTCCTTGAATCTATTGTGCATCTGAACTCTGAAGTCGGTCTTGTTGATGCACCTGGTTAATCAAGGTTGAGTTCCAATCTTTTGACAACAATAGCTATATCAATGTAGCCAGAAGGGTGTGACCGTCTACACTATTAACCCATGCCTTACCGCATGAACTGCATAGGATTCCTTTTTGCATGGTTAAATTAAGGAAAATTAATCCTTTATAAAGCTTGGCTTGAATCATGATCTGAAGACTGAGCAAGAAGTAGATAAACATATATGTGAAGTTTGAGGAAAATCAGACGTAGGATACCATTCATTTTTTAAAGATAGATCATGTTATGATGAGATCATGTGTGTCCATGTAACATTATAAATATATTGTGCTTACGTGTCCTCAATAAAAGTGTCTGTGCTGCTACTGGCACCGCAATTGACACGGTATGTATTTATTTCAAGGACAGATAGATATATGTGTCCTTTGTTGAGTTTTATTGCAACAAACTATGTACAGTACATGCTTGTTTTTATGCCATTGGGAATAAATTCTGTTCATGGGATTTAATAATAAGTACTGATAACTTCCTGTTTATGTTACATGACACCTACCGGTATGTAGAAACATTGAATGAGATACAAGGAAATGCCATTTTTAAAACAGATTTTGTTAAAACTTTGTTATATTTTGTACATCTGTAATGTAAGAAAAAGAATTGAAGAATACCTAAAAACCTTAGTCAAACAGCTTGAACCTTCAATGATGTTCTGTTTGAAAAATTATTCCAATAAATGATAGAAAAGAAAAAGCATATAAAAGAGGAAAAAGGTACAACAAGAAAACATAGAACACATGGTACACTGTATCTAACTACATGTACATGTATCTATATTTTCAATTGTGATTGAAATAGAATTTAATTGAAGAATACTGAAAATAACCTTAGTAATTGCAAATGTCTTAGCCTTTAGTGGTCTTCCTTATGAATTGCTCCAATTACTTTTAGATTGTGAAGAATGTTTATTTGAGTTGAAAATGTGATACATTCACATTAAATATTAATGTTATCACTCTTGTTCGAAATCAGAACTTCACACTTTCATTCCATTTGATACCTCCCCGCTTGACTGGCTGATGTGGACCTAAAATGCCTGACTGCACTCCTAACATAGAGATATATATCTCCATGCTCCTAATGGGCTCTCTAAAGTAGAGGCAGTAGCTCTGTTCGCACGACACCAGTGTGGGTTAAAACGATAAGTTAGTGAAACTTAAAGTAAAACAACACGTCCCACTGGAAACTGGAGCCCTGCACGGGATGAGCGCGTGCACGGGATGTGGGTTCATACGGCACCAAAACGACAAGTGCTCAAAGTTTTAACTACCAGCTGATCCAGCAGTTGCTTTAATTACAAGCTGGAAAAGACTTTAATTGTGTCCGCTCTGGCATGAAACTTGAGTGTAGACCCCCCCCCCCCCCCTGTGTATAATATATGTTGCTTGTGGTTAAAACGTAGAGTAAGTGCATCCATACTACTAGATAAGATCAAAGTTCTAAATCATGAGATCCTGTCGTGTGAACGTAGCCATGCATTCTCTGGTGTCATCGCCAAACACTCAGATTTGTTGATAGACCATAAACCATTCCGTTCCATTAATGTAATGAAAAAACTCCACCAATGTCTGAGTGATTTAGGAGGAAGCTATGCCTGTAGAGAGAGAGAGAGAGAGAGAGAGGGGGAGGGAGAGCAAGAGAGAGAGAGAGAAAGCGAGAGAGAGAGAGAGAGAGAGAGAGGGGGGAGGGGGGGGGGGGGGAGGAGAGAGGGAGAGCGAGCAAGAGAAAAAGAGAGAGGGATGAGAGAATAAGGGAGAGATGAGAGACGACTTGGTCAAAGAAACATAGAATGGATGAAAGTCACCGAGCATGGTGGAACATCGTGTCTAGACATAGATCCTCAAATTCATTAAAACTGTATTTTGAGTTCTGTTGATGGAATTGCGTTTAGGGAGAAAATGGCTCAAAGCAGTTCCGAATTGTTTATTGTGCAGTTGTGCAAAATATGAACAAACAAAACCAATAAATCTTTTTCATTTACTGAAAAGTACAACTCACATTTGGACAAATGACCAACAACATTCTCAGCTTTCATTACTTTCCTGTCATATATTTCGACAAAAATATTTCTTTTGTTTTTCATTAGTCCCACTGCCATAGACTCTGAATGGGTCTCCTTATTGTTGACCCATACAGACATTTAGGAACATGGTTTAATCCTGGTCTGGTAGTCTATATGTACAGTATAGTATAATATAGTCATGCATTGCCCTTCATCAGCTATTTTCACACTACACTGTTGTAGTTGGTGAAACCGTGAGGTTTTAAACAACGACTCTCTAACAACGCTGGTTCACACGGCACTCAAACTTCACTGTTTGAGGTTTTAAACGACAAGCTTTTATAGCAATTAAGCAGTCATAATCGTCGTTGAAACTTGGATTAAAGTTGATTGTGCCTGCACTGCACATAACTTTTAGTGAGGACCTGTATGGCTTGTAGTTGTTGTGGTCACCATAAGATCACATTTGGTTAAAAACTGAGAGTAAACTTTTAAGATTCCAAAATCAAAAGTGCATCCAGAGCTCTGCACTGTCCTCAACTATATAACACCCTCAGGGTTTAAAATTATTAGCTAAACTAATAAGTTTATGGTGTGTTGGTCAGGACTCAAATTAATTTTTTGTCCACGGGGGCTCTTCCCCCAAAAAAGAGCCCCCGTGAGCATTCTCACGGGGGCTCTTTTAGTACTGACGGGGGCTCTTTTTTATACAAATATCCATTGAATTGGTACCTATGATACTCCTCAATTATTTGCTATTTCATCATTATCATTTCAATCAGCATTTTCCCTCTTACAAATTTACAAGCTACATAGCTGTTACTGGCCTGTGTATATAATATATACGCATACAACACTGATCTGTATGATGTCTTTATCGTGACATATCTTCTTCTCCCCTTGCAAACGAGAAAGAAAACAAGGTCATTAAAAGGGATTAAGCGACAAATAATGATTGTGATTCAAATTGATGCGAATATTTGTTTGAATAAGCACTGCTATTCACCCGAATCTTCTTTGTAAAAACAACTTTTACAAATCTCAGCCGAGCTTGCTGAGTTGAGACGTTCCATTCAATGTAAAATACTCATCAAAGAAATCCTAATCTGAAAGTGATCTTACAACACAGTGGCAGATTTGCATGGCTGAGATTTGTAAAAGTCGTTTTTACAAAGAAGATTCTGGTGAAAAGCATTGCTCATTCAAAAAAATCCTTGCATCAATTTGAATCACAATGATTATTTGTCACATGATACTTTTATGAAATAACCTTGTTTTCTTTTATGTTTGCAGGGGGAGAAGAAGCTGTGTCACGTTAAGAAATCATAAAGATCAGTTGTATTATGCGTATATACATATGATACCAGAACAAATGTTGATTATCAGAATGTCATTTCGGAATACCTCTATACAAATACCACATTGTCTTTAGCCCGTATCAGTATTAGTATGATCCAATATAAAGCTATTATTCTTTATTTAATTCAGTATAATGCTTTTCCTCAAAAATAGTTTTGCTATTTTTTTAGGGTTGAGACGCTAAGAAATGGTTTCAAATGTACATTACATGAACCCTGAACCATTGCAAAATGATGGTGGTTCTCTCTCTCTCTCTCTCTCTCTCTCTCTTTGTTTTAATCATGCATTATCAACTACATATAAAGCAACAACCAAAAACTTAGGGTTATCTGAGATAGGTGAAAGTAAGAGTTAAAAAGAAAGTCATGCTAAAACGGCGCTTCACTTCCCCCCCCCCTGAAAAAAATAAAATAGATTAGTAGTCCTCTCCAGCATCCCCCCCCTCCCCCCGCTTTAATATCACATTTTCATTTGGCAGCCTAAGGGGGCGGGGGGGGGGGGGGGGGGTGGGAGGAGGGGGTTAAACCCCCTAACCCCCCTCCCCCCGTAGATATGCCCATGTTACCATATCATTCCACGACAACTTGGTCTTCCTCTTCTTCTCAATAGGGACTTTTAGATTTGCGTGGACGTGGACGTGTTACGTCCTTTTAAGACACTGGCAGTCACATGTGACGTCCTTTTAAGCACTGGCACTGCCTTAAAAGGAGGTCACACGTTGCAGTCCACGTTCTCGTCGTGCAAATCTAAAAGTCCCTAATATTGATTTACTGGTCATTTGAAATCACCAGATTTCAGCGGGTTAACGCTTTCACAATGAAAACCTTCTCCATGACCATGTTTCTGCCCTTGCGCTATCGCCTCCAGCTCCAGCAGACATGGCGCGGCAGCGTGCACACGTACCGCTACTAACAGCGCAGTAGGCCTATAACCACTGCTGACGGCGGCACTGCACTGCGAGCTGAATCGGTAATAATAGGCCTACTCATAAAACGAGAAATCTTGCACGCTAATCTAAGTTCCATTTCATTGGTTTAAGGTTTGAAAATTGAAACTCAATATTGTGTTAAAGTTATAACAGAAAAGATAATCTTTATTTTATAATTCCATGGGGGCGATTTTTAATTTTGCAATCGCCCCGTGAGCAACCTAACGGGGGCGATTATGTAGCTCACGGGGGCGATTGGCCCACCGCCCCCGTGTATTTTGAGCGCTGGTGTTGGTTGAACTTAGCTATTACTAGTTTTACTACATCAATGTGGTCAGTATGTAAAGTAACTATATCCCAGCAATTTGACTATGTACATGTAGTTAGTTTTCCATTTATCAGATTGCCCTACCCTCT